CCCCAGGGACCCTCTTCCACACATGTCGGCCAGCTATCTGTTAGAGAGAAGTGGGGACTCCAGGCCTCCCACACTGAAACTTGCTGTGGCCCAGACCATACCCTGTTGTGGCCACAGTTGGTTCTACATGAAAGCAAAGCAGGGGACACCCCTGGGAATTGCTCCCTGCCAGGTTCTGAAGGAGGGGCAGGTGTCCCTAGGCAGCATGAGGTTTGTAGAAATGATACCACCACTGTGCTGGGTGTGTGCCCCCTGCCCTCCCCCCACCCGCCCCAGCAACCTGTGCCTTCAGGAAAGCTGGGTTCACCTCAGCGTCTGGCCTCTAGTCCGGGCCTTGCATCTGCACAGCACGTCTACAGCAGGTGCACAGCAGGCCCTCTACAGGGCTCAGAACACCAATAGCTCTGCCGGAAAATGGGCAACTAGGGAGCTCCCTGTGGGTCTTCATGTGAGAACACTGTGATGCTCTATAGCCTGGCCTTTTCATCTGTCCCTTCTAAAGAGTGCCTGTACCATTAAGCCACCATGCAGTCCACTAGCAGATCTGTAGGGGCAGAGGTGGGGGGGGCAAGTGCCCACCCCCCTGCCGTCTGAGATTTCCAGCAGGGTGTTGGGGTCCCACCTGCTGGGGCACTAGAGGGGAGGAAGCAGAGCCCCTGCACGGGCAGCTGAGTGAGGGGCCTGGCGTGGGGCCTTGGCCATGTAGCTTCTCGGGGCTGACACGGTGGGATGGGTGGCTAGCCAGCAGGCCTCCGTGCCTGAGTGGGGCCATGGCTGAGCCTCTGAGTCTAAAGCTCTGTCTCTCTTTACTCCTGGAAGAGGCCATGGGACGGACCCACAGGCAGGCAGAGCTGCCAGGAAGTGGCATTCCCACAAAAGGCGGCCAGAGGCAGGGAGGCCTGGCTGCAGATAGCAGGTGTGGTTCAGGGAGGGACCATGACTCGTCCTAAGCCCGGGCACCCCCACCTGTCCTGCCTGCCCCGTGACTGGGACAGCAGGCACAGCTGCCACCTCACAGGATGGGGCAGGTGACACATCCATGGGCTGTGCTCTAGCCTCCTGGCCTCTCTGAGGGGACCCCTTGTAGGGACAGTAGATGCCCACCTGACTGGAGTCCCCAGGCACCTGCCAGGACTGTAGAGGGGGGTGGGGCCCCAGGCAGGCCCAAGGACCCCTTAAATCCTTTCAGGATCAGGGCGGGGAATCATTATGAAGGCTGGGCGTGGCCCCTTGCATCTGCTCCTTGCCATGGTCCACAGACACCCCGGAATCGGCCTCCCCTGCTCAGGTGCTGCCCTGTGCTCCCTGCAGCCCTCTGCAGCCCTCCACGCCCAGGAGCCTAGAGATCCCGACGTTACCCTTGGCAACGTGCTGACGCAGATACCGGCGGGGGGGGGGGGGGGGGGGGCTGGGGGAGGTGGTGGCGGTGGCTGTGGCTCGTCTGCCAGGCATGGGGGTGGGGGGCTCCACCAGCCCGCTGTCAGAGCAGACGAGGCTCCTGGAGGCCTCAGGAGCCGAGCAGGAAAAAAGATCTCGAGGAGCCCGGTCCAGAGCCTGGTGCTGGGCCACCAGGTTCCCTTGGTTTCTGCAAAACTCGGCGTGGCTGGCTCTTGGCTCTCGTGCCTCTGCTGGGGCCCGGGGACAGTTGAGGGCCCTTGAAAAGAAGGCACCGGGGCGGCCCTGTCCTGTCCTGATGGCTGCACTCGCTCTCGCTCGCTCCGTCAGGTGGGAGGAGGGCAGGGGCACAGGGGGGCGGGCAGGCGGCGGGGACAGAACTGCGTGCGGGCGCCGCAGGGGCAGGCTCTGCTCTCCGCCTGGCCCGGCTCTGCCCCGGGCGGCCAGCCCACCGCACGGCCAGCGGCCGGAGGAACCACAGGGGCTATTGTCTTTCCTCAGCAGCCTGTTTGTTTTCCATCCTGAGATATTGCTGGTAGAGCATGAAAGGTCACAACTATTTGGAATCCAGTGAATTTCCAGCCTCGCTTGAGTTTCTCACGAAGAATTTCCTTTTCTGGGGAACAACCACCTCCCCGGGCCTGCTGAGACCAGGGTGGCGGGAGCGGTGGGGTGCAGGCCTGGCTGCTCTCCCCTCCCTTTAGAAAATGCCCTGAGCAGCTCCAGAGCCCGGCTGCCTCCAGGAGGCAAATACAGGCCTTCCAGAGAACCCCTCCCCAGCCAGGCTGGGGGGTGCCATCCCCACCCAGCTGTGCATCCCCCACCCCGGGGAGAGGGCCGGGAGCAGCCTAGAGATGTGAGGGCCTTCGTGGGGCTGCCTGTCCTGCCGTTCATGCCCCCAGCCCAACTGGGCAGTCGTTCACTAGCACACAGGTGGGGACCCATCTGTAATGACAGACAGGCTGCAATAGAGGGGTGTGCTGGTGCTGGGGTCAAGGAAGGTCTTTCAAGGAGGTGATGCCTGAGATGAGACTTGAAGGGCGGGGACAGGCCGGGCCAGGGTGGTCACACACTTAAGGCCAGAGACAGGAGAGTGTGTGAGGAAAACAAGGCCAGGAAGGCCAGAACAGAGAGGAGAGAGGCAGGGGGGGGAGGCAGGGAGGGCCAGGAAGAGCCTCAGACGAGGGAAGGCTTGGCCTTGGGCCCATCTTTGAGGACACTTGGGCCACCTCCTAGTTGACAGGTTCAGATAGCAGAGATGATAGCCAAATACCTCCATGAAACACGGGACCAACTCGGGGCTGAGGCATCCCGCCTCCCACATCCTGCCACACCTGTGGGCACAGGCTGGGCTGACAAAGCTTGCCAACAGATGGTCTGGGAGCCCAGGCCAATGCTGAAGGAACTTGCCACCTTGCCCTGGAGATGACAGACTTAGCAGCCCGAGATCCTGGCCTCAGGAAGGCCCCAGAGCACAGGCTATCACCAGCCTCAGGACATGGCAGAAAAAGGCGGAAGGCCGGAGAGCTGACCACAGGAGCACCATGTGGCTGGCAGATGTGATCCGCCACTGTCCTGGGGCCTCACCCGGGCCCCTGACCTGGGCCTTGCGTCACAGCCTGGTCAGCCCCGAGCCTTCTGCTCAGAGCAATGCCTCATCAAATAGCCTGACCTTTCCCATTGGCTGGGATGTCCCTCTGCCCAGAACCTCACACGGCACCAAAGTGGGTGTGGGCAGAAGAACAAGAGGAGCTAGAAACCCTAGAAACACACAGTGCTGGGAGCAAGGCAGGCCTGCCCCGTGGATACAGTGTCCTTAGCCTAGGCCCCTGACACCGTCACTGCCTGGCACAGCCCTGGAGAGCCCCTGGGTGCACACAGGACAGAGGGGGAGCCCAGCCTCCTGTCTTCACGATCACCTGCAGCTGTTTCTTTCCCCTTCTCCAAGAGGCTAGATTTCCTTGAAAACCTTGAAAGACACAGACCTTCTCTCCATCCAGAAAAACGCTCAGGCACCCAGCATGGTGGCCGCAGCCCAAGGCCGTCTGTATACTTTCTTGGGGCTGCAGCCCAATTAAGACTCCCAACTGAACCCAAAGAACAAAGCCACCACCTGCCTTAAAAAAGACTGAATGAAGGGCCAAGCCCCTTCCTTGCCATTGCCCTGGTCCCCTAAGGCCCTGGAGGCTAACCCCCCACCCCCATTTCCCAGCACAGTGGGTCCCCCACCAGGACCATCATCACCCCTTCCCCTTGCCAGACCACTGCCCCCCTGAGCCGCTGGCACCCACAGCTCCATACCACGTATGGCTATTTGTGGACCCGTTTGCCCCCACACCTCCTGCCCCCAGCGTCAAAGGCCTCAAGGGCAGATTGCAAGTCTCTGTTCAGTGCTCCTGCCTGGCACAAAATGTCCTCTGTAGGACAGCCTGGGCCACCCCCCACCCCATCAGCTGCTCAGCCTCCACCACCACTCCTGGGCACCCAAAGCCCCTGCGGTGCCTTGTGCACTGGGCTTTCTGCCTTGGTTGCACCTGCATCATGCTGCCCACCCTCTCCCCCTCGAGCCCCCACTGGCTCAGCACCAACCCTGGGTGCTCCTGGGTACCTCCCTGCACTGTGTCCCCTCTATGGGGGCTCCATCCACCCCCTGCCTTTGAGCGCCCTTCTCCACGCTGAGAACCACGGTGTTCAGGCTGAGGGCCTGAAAGAACCCCCATACCCACCCGACCCCTGGGGATTAAGCCTCAGAAACAGTTCTTAACCCTGTTGCTGCCAGACTCTAAGGATCCCAATGGGGCTGTGGGGCCGTGGCTGCAGTTCCCAGCACCCATAACAGTGCCTGTAATCATAGGGGTTTTGTGTATTTCCTGGATTGCTACATAGACCAGCAACCGGATGCCTGGTCTGGGCCTTGTCCCCATTCATGTCCTGCCGAGCTGTCAACCTCCCTTCCAGCCTCCAGGGCTACTCCCCCACACACGTGACTGCACCCCAAACTCACCCAGAGCAGAGCCCCTCATAGGGCCCAGCTCCCCCTTCTTCCACCCCAGTGAGCCTTCCCTGCGGGCCGGGCGCCCCAGGGCCGCTTTTCTGGGCTCCAAGCAACATGGTCTTGGGGCCAAGGAGTAGGTCCCACTTGGCAGAGGGATGGCTCTCCATGCCCTGGGCATTTCGGGCATGGGTGTGGGCTGCTCGTGGCACTGAGGCAGGGGCCACCTGGGTACCTGGGGTCTATGAGCATCCTGAGGGTAGTGCTGTCAGCAGCTGGGTGAGGACATCCCTACCTGGTGGGGCCCGAGGGTGTGGTGGTCACTCAGAGGGATGCAGAGACCCCGAGGGCCCGTGAGGGACCCTCAGGTCAGAGTGGGACCTGTCCGTGCTAGTGGCCCCCAAGAGAGGCACCACAGCAGACGGTACCCCAAGGCCCTCCAGTGCCTGAGATACCCACCACCCACCACGCTCCACGCTGTGCTCCCAGAGACGGCCCTGGCCGGAGCCACCGTGCCTCAGCCTCGCCTGCCCTGCCCACCCCCTCAAGCCCACCCGCTTCCCAGGAGCCAGCCGAGGCGGGAACAGGCAGGGGAAAAGCCCGGCACACTCACCGTCTGGTTGTCCTCGTAGAGCTTCAGGTCGTAGCCACTAAGCTCCACACAGAAGATGATGGCCGTGACGCCCTCGAAACAGTGGATCCATTTCTTGCGCTCCGACCTCTGCCCGCCCACGTCCACCATCTTGAAGGTCAGCTCCTTGAAGGTGAACTTGTTCTCCACGATGCCCGTGGTCATGTCCCGGGAGCGCAGAATGTCCTCGACGGTGGGGATGTAGTCGGGCGCGGCGATGCGCTCCAGGTCGTTCAGGTAGTAGGCGGCGTTGTCCTCCAGGTGGTACTCGCTGGAGCGGCCGAAGCAGGCCTGCGCCCCGGGGTCAGCCCACAGCCGCCGCATGACGCCCAGCAGCTCGGGGGTGATCTCGCCCTTGCTCTCGGCAGGGCCGGTGAGCGCGAACAGCTGGACGGCGTCGTAGGCGCGGTCCGGGTTGTGGAAGTCGATCTTGAGGGCGGCCAGGGCGCGGATGATGCGGGTCAGCGAGTCGATGGCGTTGTAGATGATCAGGGGCTTGTACTCCTTGCAGGCCTCCAGGTTGAAGCCGCCGCTGTGGATGATCTTCATCTGCTTCACGATGGTGCTCTTGCCCGAGTTGCTGGTGCCCAGCAGGAGCAGTTTGATCTCGCGGCGCTGCCGCTGGCTCTCCGAGCGCAGATGGCGGTCAATCCTCCGGGACCGCCGCGCCGCCTCTTTCTCCTCTGAGCTTTGCCGACATCCCATGGTCCGGCAGCGGCGGGCCCAGATGCAGAGCACGGGACGGGGCGCCGCTCCCTGTCGCCGCCGAGTGGGGGGGGGGACGCCGAGACGCGGGCCGCGGTGCCGGCAGACGAAGCGCGGCTGCCCTCGGAGCGCTCAGCGCGGGCGGCAGGGCGAGGCCACGCCACGCTGCAGCCCCTGCCCCAGCACCTCTGCTCCAGCCGGCATGGCGATCGCCCGGGGCGAGGAGGCCGCCGAGCCCTCCCTCTAGTGACTCTCCACCTGCCCGGGCCACTGTGGGGCCCGATCTGCCGCCGTCATGCCCTGTCCTCCCGACGGTGGGAAGCAGGACTCCAGCGTCTGCCTAGGCTGCTGCCGTCTGGCCGCCGCTTGCCGGGCCGGTGCCGCGTGCGCTCCCTGCGGGCCCCCTGCCTTGGGCATCCGCCCTTCACCTGCCAACACAGAGAAGAGGGTGAGCCTCCCCCCTGCCACAGGCTGGGGGGGAAAGAGGGAAACCGGGCCTCCTCGGGAAGCAGCCTGGGGGATGGTGAAGCACACCCGCTCCCCTCCCTGGGACTCCGCTGAGTTGCGCCCCACTCCACGCCTCACACCCTGCCTGGCCAGCCAGTGTGCCTGAAGCCTGGTACTTGAGGAAACGGTGCCCAGAGCCACACTGGGACGTTAGCCTTAGGGTTTCTGGAGCGAGGGAGGGAGTCCGGGGCCCTGCTGCCCCTCCCTCCCCACCTGCATCCGGCCAACCTCACCCTCCTGCAGCCTCCGTCTCTGGATCTGTTGTTCTTTAGGATTCCATACAGAGAACCTGCTCTGATGTCCTCCCCTTACCACCACCTCCCTCACCCTCTCCTGTGGCTGCCGGGGGTGTACCCACATGTGTCACAGCATCAATGGGCCTTGGCCCCTCCTTGGTTTACAGTGGGGTCCGACACCAGGGTAACTGGATGATCTCCCCTCACCACCTCTCATGGGAGCTGGGTCACTCCTTCGCTCTCTCAGGGCAGGACATTCACCAGGAGGAGGCTGGCGAGGCCTGGCAGTAAACAGACAGGCAGGGAGCAGAGCAAGGCAGAGGTCTCAGGCGGGGCAGGCGGGGAACATGGCAGCCTGGCTCCTGGTGGGTGAGGTGGGTCAGTGGGGAGAGGCTTGGGCTGGGCGGGCTGAGTCGGGGAAGCAGGGGCTGGGGGGGTACAGGACAGTAGCCAGGTGTGGGAGGCAGGTGAGCCAGAGTATGTCTGAGAGCATCAGGAACCACTGAGCCCAGGGCAAGGCAAGGGGGCAGCCCACAGACTCCCTGGTCCTAGGCCAGGTCTTTCATGTCCCTGTTCCCACCTTGATGGTCAATAAGGAACAGCTGTGCTCACACCCTGGCCAGGGCATCAGCACCTCAGTGCCCAGCCCTCAGCCAGCCACCTGCTGACCCAGGATACCTGCAAGCTCTTCCCAGGCCTCCCCCGATGACCTGTGAGTAGCTGAGCCTGGGCCCTCCCCACCAGGGCAGGCCCAGAGCTCCGGCTCTGCTCCCATCTGGGAGCCTGCCCACAACCTCTGTCCTGGCCTGGCTACCCCTTGCAGCCTCCTCACTCTGCCATGGCCAGCACTCACCCCCCACCCCCGATGCTCCCTCATGGCAGGCCCTGGATGGCAAGGACCCTGAGGCCCGTTCTTTCCCTGGACCCACCTGCCTCTGTAGCCAGGGGCCCTGCAAGCACCTCTCATGCCACCTCTCCCCCTCGGTTGAGCCTTCATGTGTCCCCAGTGCTCCCAGGATGATGAGTCTCATCCCAGCTGTGTGGCCTGAGCACTTGACTCCACGTCACAGAGCCTGTCCCTCACCGGTCATAAGCATCTGTTAGAGGTAGAGCGTTCAGTGCAGCGTCTGGAACCCAGGCAGTGGCAGCTAGTACCCCCGTGTCCTCATCACCTGTGGGTGCTCCCTCAGAACCAAGCATTGCCTGTGGGCTAACATAGCCCAGGGCCTGGGAGCTGTGGGCACTCGGTGAGGGCTGGTGGGAGAGTGGGAAGGGAAAGCCTCAGGTATGAAGAGGCTGAGGACCTTGTGGCTTCTCCGTGGTCCCACCGGATTTTTCCTTCTTTGCATTTTACCATGTTTCCTGTATCTTCCTAAATGAATTTTTTTCTTTTGTTTTCTTTCTTTTTTTTTTTAATTTTTGTTTTAAGAGAGGTTTGTAAACAAGCATCAGGGCATGGATGAGGCCCTGTCTCTCATGCTATCCGAGACTTGCCTCTTTCCTCCCCGGGCTGTGAGTGTGTGGAGCGGGGGCCCAGTGGCTGCTCTCGGGGCCCCTGCTGAAGACCCAGCAGCCCCTCAAGGTGTAGGAAAGAGCCCAAGAAGGGCTCCTGGGGCCTTCACTCCTGCACAAGTGCCAAGGTTCTCCCTCCTGAAGGCAATGCCAGCCATGCCAGGGGTGCCCCATGTTGTCATTACTGTTTCCTTCAACTTGTGTTTGAGAATCTGAGGGACACCCAGGCCCCAAGCGACCAGTTCTCCCTCAGCTGGTCACTGCCACCTAGACAAGCAGCAACCGGGCACCAATTCTGCATGCCCTGAGGCACCCTTCAGTGACCCCACTCTTGGGATGTGGTCTAGCTGAGAGGTGACATGGCCTGGGGTTGTGCAGGCCAGTCCCCTGCCTCCATTCAGAGCTGCACCCAAACAGACCAAGACGTTGGCTGCTTCCTCGCATGACCTCCCTGTAGCCAGATCCTTCTCAAACCCAAATCCCCCCTCTTACAGCTTGGGCCGGGGGAGCCTGCCAGGCTCAGCAAAGGGCTGTCCGCGGGGGGGGGCTAGCTCAGCCACCACTCATTAGTGGCCCCTCACCTGCTCCTGTACCAGAACTTTGCCTCTTCTTCACAGGTCAGCTCATGCGTGACTGCCACCCTGCCAACAGGGTGTCCTGTCCCACCTGCGGCCTGTACCTCTCCACTGCATCCTTCCTTTCTTTGGTCTTTCCTGCCAGGGCTGGGGTTTTCTTAGAAAAATGGTGATGCTCTTACCAAATGCCATATACATAAAATTAATTTAAAAATGGATCAAAGACTTAAAATGTAAACCTAAAAGTATAGTATTAGGAGAAAGCACAGGTCAAGAGCTGCATGACATTGGATTCGACAATGATTTCTTGGATATGACACTAAAGGCTACAGGCAACAAAATTAAAAAAGAGACAAACCAGACTGCATAAAAATTATAAAATTTTGTGCATAAAAAGGCACTATCAACAGCTAAAATGGCAACCTACAGGATGGAAGCAAATACTTACAAATCATATGTTGGATAAGGGGTTAATACCTAGAATATACAGAGAAGTAAACCTCAGCAGCTCAAGGAGCAATCTGCCTGGAAATTGGGTAAAGGACTTGAACACACATTTCTTGAAGAAGAAATCTTGAAGAAGATAAATGAATGGCCAGTAAGCGCATGAAAAGATGCTTGACATCACTGTCAGGACAATGCAGATCAAAACCACAGTAAGATGCCACCTCATGCCTAGAAGGATGAGTACTGTATTTAAAACAACAACAAGAGAAGAATGAGCAGAAATTGGCTCCCTTGTGCACTTTTGGTAGAAATATAAAATAGTACAGCTGCTATGGAAAACAGTAGGGTGGTTCTTCCCTCAAAAAAAATTAAAAATAGAATTACCAGCAATTCCACTTCGGGTATATACCCAAACGAATGGAAATCAGGGTCTGGGGAGAGATTTTTGTACACCCGTGTTCATAACAGCACTATCTGCAATAGCTAAGAGGTGAAAGCAACTCCAGGGTCCACTGGCAGATGAACGGACAGGTAAAATGCCACACACACACACACACACACACACACACACAGGAATATTATTCAGCCTTAAAAAGGAAGGACACCTGCTACAACACGGATGAACCTTGAGGATTTTATGCTCAGTGAAAGAAGCCGGTCACAAAATGACAAGTACTGTGTGATTCCCCATATATGGTCCTTAGAGTCGTTAAATTCAGAGGCACAGTGCCATTAATATATTTAATACCACTAAACTGTAAACTTAAGAATGGTTAAAATAGTAATAAGTTTTATAGTATGTCAATTTTAACACCACAAAAAGGTCTTGTGGGTGAGTTACCCCCAAAATAAAAACAGGAGGCCACGTGGTACAAGAGAAAGAAGCAGGCCCCCTGCCTCCTGGCTTCACCCACCAGTGGAGGGCCACTTGGGGCGCACATCATCCATTCCGTGGGCTGGAACCCTGACCTAATGGCCCCCTGCTTGGACCAAGATTCCCCACCCAGCCTTCAAGTCCAAAGCCGCCCTGTCTAAGAAGGCATGACTTGTGTTTTGGCAAGTGCGTGCTCCACAACCCCAAGGCCAACGGCTGGGCTTCTGAGAATCAGGAGAGTAGACTGGAGGCAGTGGGCGGGCAGCCTGGGGCTGGCCGGGTGGTCCCTGACCAGTGCAGCCACAAGGCAACATGGGAGTAAGGGGGAAGGAAACAGCCAGGAGGCAATTGTGTGCACCAGGCCAAGCCTGGGAGCTTTTGCCACCTACATGGGGCAGCCACCAACAGACACATCCAAGGTGGGTCCCTCTCTTAGAGGCACCCTCTTCTTTCAGATCCAAAGAGGCAAGGCCCACTCAGAATTCCCCCTGTGGTTCTGCAGGGCTCAGCCACATCCCAGGGTGTATCGGTGCTCAATGTTGGGGACTGGCCTGGGCACGGACACAGGGAGGGGGGCCTGTGAACAAGAGTATTTGCTGAGGTCCAAATGGGACTTCAGCACCGTCCCATCCTGAGGCTTGGCTCCTTTGTCTTTATGTGCGATTCCTGCCAGTCCTCTCTCTCTCAGTCTAATGTGGGCTTTACTGGGCCTCCCTGCCACTGGCCTGGTGATGAAGAGCCAAGGGCTGGATGACTACACGGTTACCTGGTTCAGTAACTGCTCACAGGTCCCTGGGGCCTGACACCCACAAATCCCATCCCTTACCACCACCACCACCACAGCACTACTGGGCTGGCTGGAAATTACTGAGGAGTGGGTGAGGGAAAGAGTGTACCAGTGAGAGGAAGGGCGCGTGCAAAGGCCCTGTGGGCGAAGGGAGAGATGAACCATGGCATGCCTGGGGAGCTGAAGGACAGTCAGAATGGTTGGACAGAGAGAGAGGAGGGAGTCACAGGTGAGAAGAGGAGGCAGGGACAGTCAGGGGCACCTACTGTGTGGGTGCAGAGCTGTGGCCATGTGGTTGTGTGTGTGCGCGTGTCTGGGGTTACACACACGCACATGTGTGTATTTGCAGGACTGTGTATGTGTGTATGCACCCATCTAGGTATGTGCCTGTGTGTAGGTCCACGCATGTGCGTGGGAATATGTAAGTGCACGCCCATGCCTGTGGGTGGCTACCTGTGGTGTGCCTGAAGCAGAGGAGATATGAGCTACAGTGTGGAACGGGGCTGAGGTGCGTGAGAGGGACCAAGGGGAGGAGTCAGGGCCTACTAACCACTCACCAGGGGCTTGGGGGGCGGCGGACACATGACTGCTGAATGAATCAAAGACGGGACGCCTGAGTTTACACAGGTGGAGGGAAGTGAGAATCAGATCAAAGGCAGCAAAGACTCTGTGATGGGGAAGGTGCCAAGCTGCACAGGAGCAGGGTCAGGGGTGCTGCTTAACCTAAGGCTGCAGGTCTATGGAGGTGGGCAGGGCCCTGACAGGTGCTAGGTGACCACGAGCAGATGGTGACGGGAGTGGAACAGCTGGTTCAAAGGCTCTGGGCTGAGAATGTGCTTGGCCAGTCTGAGGGTCAGGAAGGAAGGTGGGGAGCTGGCATCTAATGTGAGGGGGTCACTGTAAGAACTCTGGCTTTCTCTCTGAGTGAGCTAGAAGCCAGCCAAGGTTTGAGCAAGGAGTGCCCTGTATGTGACTAGAACAGGGTGCAGCTATCCAGGTGACACGCGGGCTGTATGATGGGCAGTGCCTGGTGGCAGAGCGGTGGTAGGGTTCGGGCACCCCAGGGTCTGGCCAGTAGGCTGGGAGTGGGGCCATCCTTGGAGAGGGGATGCTGGGAGGAAGTGGCAGGTGTGCCATGGTGGGCTCTGCAGACATGTGGCCCACCTTGGCCATGACTCTTGATGAGCTCCATCACATCCCCTCACGGTCTCCCTGACTCACCTACCCACTTGCCTGTGTACGTAAAGGCTGCCAGGATGCGATCCCCAAACCCAGAGCCTACTCAGGGACCCCTTGACGGCAGCGTGCAGGCCAGATACTTGAGCACACACACCACATATGCTCTTTAAGATCTGCCCTGCCCTGCCCCGCAGGCCCCTGACCTTGGTCCCTACTCACTTCCTGACAGGCCCAGCCCGTCCTCATGTCTCACTGCCCCCTCCCCTCAGACATGACCCTCTCAAGTCTCCATTCACGTCACAGATGCCAGGTGACAGTCCTGAGCCAGGGGTGGGGACATGGTGGAGTACAGTGCTGCTACCACCTCTCTGGGGCCTTTCCACACTCTGCTGCCCTGTACCCCAGATGCCCACCATGCAGGCCACGGCTCTCCCCAGGCATGCCCCTCGTGACCTGGCACAGAGCCCCGGCACTGTAACACGTCCGCTATGTAACACGTCCTCACTAATGGCTGACTTAGGGGCCTGGGCAGAGAGGGCAGACCAGGGCTGTGCGACACCAGCCCCTTCTGTACCCCCTCTCCCCCCCCCGAGGAAGGGAGCCCAGAGCCAAGGTCACCAAAGTGTTGCTGCCCAAGCCGGGCTAAGCCAGAGGGTCTCCAAGGAGAGAAGACGGCTTATCAGCTTACCGGGCTGGAGAAGGCCTGGCCTCGGCGGGCGGGGCTCGCTCGTCACTGGGCACCCACTTCCTTGGAGGGAGGTGGAAACAAGAAGCCAAGCCCCTCACTCTGTGGACTCCCTCCCCACCCAAGGAAAGCCCACTCCACACAGAGTCCTGGACCATCAGAAAGGGAGGAGCCAGGGAGGGGAGTCTGACCCCACTGAAGAGGCAGGCCCATGCCTAGACTGAATGGCTAGAGAGGCAAGGTTGTCTGGCGCCCAAGCAGAGGCCACTCAGAGGCCAGCTGTGTGTGTGTGAGACCACAGGTAGAACCCCAGAGGCAGAGGGCAACTCAGGTTTCAGGGCCAGCAGGCAGGGCGAGACCACACACCTAGGGCACTGGTGGGCCTGAGTCTTCTTGCACATGTGACACATGCACCCAGACTGATGCTCCCTGGGGAGTGCTCAGCCCCTAGTGTGAGGATCATCAGCCTGAGGTCCTGGGCCTTTCCCCCCCCAAGAGCTGCCGGCCCGTTGCCCCCCCCCCCATGCAGGCCAAGCATCAGCCTGCCGGGGCAGAGCTATGACTCAGCACTGCTGTCCCCTGGCCCCACACCCCGCCCCAGCTTGCTCAGACACCTTCTGCTCTGGCAGCAGTGGCTCTCCCACCTGCTAGCTCCACCCTGGCACCCAGCAGCTGCTCCTGTGGTGACCTGGAGTGGGAGGAGGGTGGTGGCTCAGGCTAGGTGTCTGTGACCTCAGGCCCTTCCTCACATAAGGGCATCTGGGCCGAGCAGGGAAGGCCCTACCCCACGTCCCAGCAGGCCCACATCGCGGGTCTGCAGGTGCCGGCAGAAGGAGAGGCACGTGGGGGTACCCTGCCATGCTGGGCTCTGCACGCCTCTGCTGCTGGCCTTGGGCTGGCCTCAGCTCGCAGGTCCAAAGGGGTTCCCACGGCCTCCTGGGGCCAAAGCCACCCATGTCATTTCTGTCTTCCTCTAGAGGGTGGGCCCCCTCTCTGCCCTCCGGAACTGCAGCCCTGTGTCAGCTCCCACCGTGGCTCTATTTTAGAAACATCAGGTCCGGAAACGCCTCTGCCTGCACGGTCACTGATTATCGGTCTTCCTCCCCTCTTCGTAAGATGTTTCCCACTGCCCTTTCATGCCTGGCGTCCTGGAATCTGGTGTTCTACATTTTTGGCTGTTTGTGCACCCTCTTTCCTGCCTGAACATCGTGCCCTGGGGTTCCTTATCTGCACCCCCCTTTTAGGTCTTCTTTTAGGTCACATTGGACCTGCAGGGGTCTTCCTGGTGGCCCCTTGGTGGTCTTGGATAAGTTGATGTCCTTCCCCTGCCCAGTTCTTCTACTAGTTCGGACTCTCCGCCTGTCCCCAGTCTGGACAAGGCGAGGCCCAACCTGGTGCGTCCACCTCTCTAGCACCCACCTGCCTCTCTGGCACCTGCCCACCAGCTCCCCATAATGATGTGTCCTTGGCCCCATCCACACGTGTCACCCTAATGGTCCAGTCGTCAGGGCCCCCACAGAATGTTCGTGGCGCCATTTCTTTGTGTCCTCAGACCACCAGGGACAGCTGGGTTGTGCCGGGGGAGGGTCTGTCCCAGGGAAGCTGGGGAGAGTGGGATCAGGGCCAGGGCTTGGTTTCCCTTTCCTTGTCTACACTGTGCTGCCTCAGGCTGCTGGGGACACAGGAGGGGAAGGTGCTGCCAGAGGCACGGTGGGGGACACAGCAGGCACCTCTGTCACAAGTGGGTCAGCCCTGTCCAGGCGCCTACCTGTCCTTATGTGCACATGTCCTATTGCCTCTGCCTCACAGCATCCCCAGGAGAGGGGCCTAACAATACAGATGTAGGGACTGGGGTCTGAGGAGCGGGGGAACTGGGCCTGCGGGGCTCCCCGACCCCCGTGCCCACAGTGCAACCTGCTTACCTGCTGTGACTTAATCAGCAATTCGCTTTACATTGGCTGGCACTTTTTACGTAAATGGATGATGTATTTTAAAAACTTCATTTAAAAATAAAAAATAAAAAAAATAAAAAAAAAATAAAAACTTCATTTTCCTACTTACACAGAAAGCTGGAGTCACCACAGGCAGAAGTCCCCTAACCCATGAGCTGGTGTGGCTGCTGCTTGCAGGGACGCTGCCTGCGGAGGAGTGAGCAGAGGGCTTGCCGTTTGTTCAACAGCTGGGATTAGTGCACCGGAGGGTGTGAGAATCACACTGGCACCAGACTGAGATTTTCTCCTTGAAGGAAAGGGATTGAGAGAGAAATGAAAAAGGATTACCCTCCTCATGGGAAGGCTGGGTGCCGCTCACAGCTGTGGCCTCAGGCCACCCTGTATGATCTAGGGATGCAGATGGGGACACAGGGAGCCTGGGCCCAGAGGTCCTCTAGCTGGAACCCTTGGGGCGGAGGCAATGGGGCTGGAGTGTCGGGGCTGGAGTGTCAGCGCTGTATCCCTCGTCCTCACTCAGGCCAGAAGCTGTCTCTCCTCTCAGAAAAAGGCATCACCCCGACCTGTCACCCCTCTTCTGCTCAGTTCCATTTGCCTGTTCATCAGGGCACCCTCTGCTGCTTCTCCTGTTGCTAAATGACCTAGCACGAGGTGCAGCGGGCATCTGCACGAGGGCCTGAGGCCCTCTACCCTCAGATCCAAACGGACAGTCAATCAACCACTGGGCCTGAGATGAGTGAGTATCACTGTGCCCTCTGGGAATCAAGCCTGGTGTGAGGAGGCTCTGCTCTGGACTTGGGGACCTGGGTAGGGGAAGGGTAGGACAAGCTGAGTCTGCATTGAGGAGCTTGTGTTCTGACTGGGGAGACTGTGAGCACCTAAGTCTGCGAGGCCATTTCTGAGAAAAGCATGGCACAGTGGAAGTGAGGGTGCAGAGGCCTGCGGCAGAAGGTCCAGGGAGGGGACACCAGATAAGACACGATTACCAGAGGCCACTATCGTGCAAGGGTGGGAGAGGCGGCCAGAGCAGGAGGCAGGCAGGGTGGGGACACCCGAGGGGACACTGCCCCAGGTGCCTGGCTGGGCAGCGCAAGACGCTGCTGGCCTAGGCCCAGCTCAGAGCAGGCCCACCCAAGCAACAGCCTTCCCATGGTTCCCTAGGGAGTGGCTCAGTGACAGCTGCCATGGCAGGGACTGCCCCCAGGGACCGGAAGGCAGAAACTGTCCCAATCGAGACCCTATTTCTCCTGTGGAAGAGCCTTTGATGGGGGGCTGGGGGGTGGACCTGTGGGTGGTCTGCTGCCACTCCCTATGTGGGATGCTGGACATGTGGGTTCCCCGGAAAGGCTGGCAAAGCAAGGCCAGGGAGGGGGGCCCAATGCACCATGTCCCCTCACACATCAGAGCTCATGGGCCTGACCAGCATCACGTACAGCAGAATCTGGGTTGGCCCATTCCAAATGCTTGGATGGGTTTTGACACAACAACACATACTTCTGGACTTAAAAGCCGCATCTTCCCGAGGAGATAAAAGCCTCTGCTTGCCTTGGTGCCAGTAACACAGGGTGGGGAACGGGGATAGGCCACCTCCTTTTTCCTATGACCCCTGCCAGAAAAGCCTGCTCCCTGCCTCCCTGGCTGAGTCTCCCATTCCCCACGCCACAGTGCCCTGCCCCAGCCCACTCCACTGGAAACGTCTCTCTCCGAGGCCAGGCAACAGCCTCCCTCCCTGGAAGGGCCACACGAGCGCTGCAGCACCAAGGAGCCCCCTCAGAGCCCAAGGGCCTCAGTGGGGACTCACCACCTGGCCCTGGGTGAGCCTGAGCTAAATGTCGAGTGCCACTGGCTCCGCACGGGACTGGACTTCACCCAGGGACAGTCCAGCAGGGCTGCCCAGGACTGGCCCTTCCTCGGCCTCCGGGCCACTGGCTGCCTTGCAGGCGCCTGCCCTGAGCACACACACCGTGCCCTCGAGGCCCACCCTCCCCTCCCCCTCCCTCTCCATTGCCAGCTCTGGAAAGATGTGCAGAACAGATGGATGGGTAGATGGACGAACACCAAAAATTACTGGTTCACAGCTCCCAAGCTTCCCAGCACTCCCTTCTGAGTGAGTTACCTCACCTGACCTTGTCTGGGCGCCTGCATGGAGAGACTCCTGTCCACACTGGGCCACTGGGACCCCAGCTGGGGACTCAGACCCCTCTGCTTGTGCCCACTCCCCCCCACCAGATGCCCCAGGGCATCTCACCCACCGCTCCCCAAGCCATAGGCAAGATCCTCCTGAGCCCTCCTGCCTTCCCCTCCTGCACCCCTGGCAACTCGCCCTGCCCCTTCCTGCCACAGTCAGCTTGGGCCCCACCCCAAACCCTAACCTGACCATTTCTCATCCTACTGAAAATGAGACAGGAGCTGGGGGAGCCTATGGGCAGAGACAGTGCATCTCCGCACCCTGACCCTCCTGGCCTGTGTACTGGCATCTCCTGGTCTCCCTGAGGCTGAGAAATCCCACACGTCCCTGCAAGTGGTTCCTGGACCCTCTCCTGGGGTGGTCCTGAGGAAGGGGTTTCCAGGTAGGCCTGTCAGGAGGGAGCGTGACAGTGTGGCCAAGCAGCCCCTTCCCTAGCCCTTCGCTTCCACCGACCCGTGCTTTACAACCTTTCCAAGTAGAGGGATCTCCTCCTCCCCGTTCTAATGTCAAAGAAGCAACAACAACAAAAAATCAACCCCATAGACTCTACCGTTATCATAGGTGTATTTTTAAGATCTGTTCATGACCAAAAGTTGTCACCAAAGTTGGGACTGCTGGCTGGTCGGCATATTGAAACATGACTTAACACAGCTGTGAACTTAAAACAGATACTCATGCACTCCTTCACCAATTTTGGGGGTGGGCCATCTATTCTCAGAACATAGGGTCGCTTACTGGAGTTGCTGTCACTGTTCCTTCTCAAACCACAGTGCGCCAGGTGTGACATCTCCAGTTGACTCTCTCCGTGCAGCATATGGTGGCAAAGTAACGGGGACCCGACTCCTAGGTTGTCATGGCTTCTGTCCCCAGGCTTAACGGGTGCCTTGCCCACACCAAACCCAACCACAGCGTTTACTGTGGTTCCCAAAGCATTCACTGAATTTCCACAAAAGTCCTCCTTACATTCCTATTTCATCAGTTTATATGGTATTCAAGGACGTTGTCACAATGACAAATACGGCTGGCACACACAGGTTTGGGCCAAACACCACGGACTCCTAGGGGCGGGTGACAAGGTGCCAGGCACAGGCTGCCTGCTGTCCTGGAGCATTTGGCCTGCCGTGGACATGCTCCTGTATGCTCTTCTTTGAGAACAGAGCACACCCATTCACCCAGTGAGTGTTGGTGAGTGCTGGTGACGGGGGTAAGAGGGTTTCTCAGCACCAAGATTTCTATGTGGTTTGTAAACGACTCTGCGTTTCATTTATCACAACGGTTTCTGTGACAAAACGGTAGCACGTGCACACGTGAGACACTTCCGAGCTAGGGAAACGTGGCTCTGGGTTCTCCGCAGCCACTCCACAGCCACCGGGGCCCAGGCCACTGGGTTAGCTTATCCACGTCCCCCCAGCCCGCCTGACTGACCTGGCACCAAGAGACCCTCAGCAGGTCTCCCCTTAAAAGCAGTCCCCCTTCCTTGGCCTCTTCCTCGTCCCCTGCTTATTTCAGAGCCAGGGTCAGCAGACGGACAGGAGAAGGACCAAGGCTGGGGGCGCAGTGTCCCCAGCTGCACAGAGGTCCCAACAGATGGCTCTACCCCAGCAAGGCAGCCTCCTGGCCTCAAGGTCCTGCTGGAGAGGGCCAGGGACGCCCTGCCCTGCAGCCCCGTACTGTCCTGTGGCTCTGGAGGCCCGTGGCCCCGTGGCCGGCCTTCTGGCCCACCGCCGCTAAGGCTGACCAGACGGGATGTGATAGCAGGGCCTGAGGAACACTGACTCAGGAGGAAATCAGGCCAGAGATTCTCTGAGCCAGGAGTAAATAGATAAATAAAAATGGAAAGGTTCCACATACGAGGGGGAAGGAGGCCCAGATGCGCAGGGAAGACATGTGGCCTTTACTAAACGCAGCCCCGCCGCCAAGCAGCCTGCCGCCAAGCGGAAGGGGTTGTTGCCTGGGGTGGAGCCGGGCTCCCCGAGTTTCCATAGCGAAGGTAACTGCTGCTGACTTTCAGTCCGGCCCAGAGGAACCTGGGTGGAGACTCTGATTTAACCTCGTTGGGTCCCTTGCCCTGCAATTTCCTGCCTCTGAGCGTGGAGTCCCAAGATCCCTCCCCCTATGCTGGCTACGCCCCAGGCCAGACCCTCTTAGCTGAGGGCTCTGAGGCCAGGCAAGTGCACGACTCCTTCCCTGAGCCCCTCCTGCCTCCCTGCAGCTCCCTTTCTAGTCTTTCCCACCTGGAAGGTGAGCACCACTCACATCTGTTCCCTTTCTCGACCGGCCCCTCCCCACAGCCTGCTTCCCCAGCCTCCTGAACCCCCTTGGGCCTCCAGGTTGCAAACCTGGGGCCCCTGGCCTCCTGTCTATGCAGGGCCATTCCCGGGAGGCCCCAAGCCTGCCGCAGCCTCCGACCCTGTTGATGGGGATCTAGAGAAGCGAAGCCTGAGATGGGGATTCATGGCTGCTCCAGGGACCAAGTTCAGGAGGGAGGGCGGCAGGCCCGGACCAGTGAGGGAACCGGGCAGAGTTGTGCTTTCAGCTGCCTTGTGGCTGTGGCCCGATCCCGGGGCGCTGGAGAGTCTGCATGAAATCAAGGCCATCCCACCTCGAGGGACAGGACAGGGCCTCCCAGGGCCCAAGGCAGTTCTCCAGCAAGGGGTGCAGCTGCGAGCGGGCAACGCTGATGCGGTGGGGGGCAGCGTGCCGGCAGGAAAGGGGACCTGGGGGGCACCGTGCACAACATGCCTTCCCTCTGCTGGCCCCCCTTCCTGACAGAACCCGGCGCCTCAGGTGAGGGCTAGGCCTGCATGGCCTCACGGGAGCCCTGCGTCTGAAATCCAGCCACCTACCCACCCGCATGCCCCAGCCTCTCACTGGGGACTGCTATAGTGACCTCTCAGGCGCCCCTGCACTCTGCTCCGCCAGCAGCCAGGGGAATCCTTGTCAAATTATGAGGCACAGCCTCTCTCGGGTGCTCTAAGCCTCCCCGCGGCTGGCCACCTCAGTTCTGGGCCAGACTGTGCCCGGCCTTCCCCTGCCCCGCTGTGCGGCTGTGCTGCTGTGCTCCGTCCCCTCCACCCTCGGGCACTGGCCCACCTGCTGTT